TGAACAGGCCGTACCAATAAGTCCTGTTAAGTTGATTTTGTTTTCTTTGTAAAGGCCGTATCAATAAGTCCTGTTGAGATCAGTTTTGTTTTTCTTGGACAGGCTGTATCAATAAGACCTGTCGAATCACCCTTTCGTATTGAGTTTCTTTTTGGACAGGCTGTATCAATAAGTCCTGTCATATTCGCATCAATTGGTATTAAATAAAATAAAAACTTTATTCTAACGAATCGACTCTTATTACAAGAGTATTCTATCCTATCTATTCTTCAAATACCATCGTTATCTTTTTGAAAAGGCCGATTTATGAACAAATCGCCACGGGAAACCTCTAGAACAACCGGAAAGACCCTCAAACCGTAAATAATTCAGTTTAACTCCCACCCCGTTGCAGAAAGTTCCTTGAATCGATTGATTATTGCAATAATCTGGTGCCCCCAAACCATCGTAGAATAAGCCCTTTCGGTAAATATTAGAAGGAACGCAACAGTACCGGTACGTATTCATTATAGCTGGATTTTTAGTTATTCCATAGTATCGATGCACAGAATATTTAGTGCACTTTAGAGCAGCCTGAATCTGATTTTAGAAAATTTAATTATATTACAAAACAAAAAACAACACACGTTAAAAGGTGTTCATTGTCATTTCGTTAAATTTATGTTCTTCGTAATCCTATCTTACTGGTCTGTCCAACCAGGATGCTTTATAAATTGTTACAAACCCTCTTTTTGCAAGATATTCAACATTGGTAAAGCTTATAAAAGGGATCCATTCAAAAGCACTAGCACGTTGATTAATTTTTTTGCATTCTTTTACTAGACTATCGATATCTTTATCTCCGCTAAACCATTCGACTCTATAAATTCGTGATATTTATTACATTCCCTGCAGTGTTAATTTTCTTGACATTTGGTACATTTACTACAATGAGTATTGTGAACTGAACATTTGTCGCAGTAGTAGTTTAATCGATTTAAAAATAATAAATATTATCGTTGTTAAATTAAAAATATTTGGTACCAATATTACATAACGATAATTTCCCTCCTCTGTGACTTAATTTGAAATTTTCGCATTTAAATATTTTATACATTTAAAATTATTTGTATATTATTATTTTGTTTTGAAGTCTAAAAATCAAAAATTTATAAGTACATATTCTTTTAGAATAATATTTAAGCAAAAAATCAATCTCGTCACTAATTTTTACATTTCATCAGATAGGTGTGATATGTCATTTTTCATTGCGAATTCTTATGCACATTAATAATATTGAAATTCTGTGAAAAATTTCCCAGTTCACTACATGTAGGAAGTAAATGACGATAAAGTACAGGGAGTATAAAAAGTATTGAATACTTTTATTTTATTAATTACTTTAAAATGTATATAATAAATGATTTTTAATTTTTAAATATAATAGTTTATAATTATATAAATAAACTAACAAAATTTTATACTTTTTGGTATATTGATTATTAAGAAAATCAAAATCTATTTACAAAATTAATTTGCCACATTTTTTATTTAATTAAAAAAATTCAAATTTAAAGATTTCAATAACTAGCAATCAGAATTTATTAATTTTTTTTATTTTGTAAAATTAAATATACTTTAAAAAATACAAAAAATTGGTTAATTCTGGTTACTGGTTAATGAAATAATTAAATTTTAAAGTTTTTAATATTTTAATCTTTTAAACAATTAATAAACAAAATGTATAAAATTTGGTTATTTTGTTATATAATTATAAACTATTATATACATTTTAAAAGTAATTGATTAATAAAAGTGTCCAATACTTTTTATACCCCTGTAAGTATTAGTCACCTAAGAATTCTGTATATTAATAACAGGAGAAAATAAAGTTTATAATACCATTATCAGGTTTTGTGCGGGGATTTTTATTTAAAACTAAAATGTGTCGAATTAATGTGCACACCATCTATATGTCATTAGATACTTTCAGATAATGTTTCATAGAATAAATTCGAAAGTCGTCAATATTTTCTGCGTTATACCCAGTGTCTTCTAATATCATTGATTGCTACAAGAACTCTGTTATGTTTTATCTCCACCACTTATATATGTTAAAAACTGTGGTGTACGCTTCTTTACCGTGATCAAATAGAATGACTCATGTTGAAAGTATGATGTCACTCCATGTGACCGCCGAATTTTCTCTCATAAATCAATTTACGATTAATGTTTTAAATATAGGATTCATGATCTAGCAATTATATGTGATTAAGATCGTTGCATCATCAAAAGAGCATGCACGATAAAATAATGCAAGATTTACTTTGGAACGTAGTGAATTTTTTGCTACGTTTACATTAAAATATCTAATTTCGATTCAGAATCTAAAGATTCATTTACTTTGTCTAATAGTAAAGAAAAAAGTAAAATAATTATTATTTGATCTCAATATAATACATGATTTCTTAATAATCAAGAAAATCAATGAAGGTGTGAAGAATCTGTAAATAAAAATGAAAGTAAAAAGAAGAGAAAAATCAGTAAGTATTTGTGTGCATATAAATAATCAATAAAGCAAAAACAACCCGCCCAGATCAACGTAACAAGCTGTCTCAACCACCGAAGCGCGCCTCAACTAGGAGTTGCCCTTCCTTCACGAAATAAAAAAACGCACCTTTTTTCTAAAACATCAAAGGCATTTTGGTCTAACAGCTCTTTTGTTCCTGTTAAAAAGTGTTGGCTCCAAGTATTGTTAAGGTCCTGCCAGTTGTTCGAAAGCGATGAAGCAATGATCTTATTGCGACAAAGATCCAAATATCCGTGATATGATTATCTCTTCAGATAAAAGACAATAACTGGGAAGTCAATTGTCATTTACTTTTTTGACGAGTTTTTGGGGCAGATCTAAACCAATGGATTGCCAATGGAGTCCGGTCCATACTCCATTGTGGTGGTGAAGTCCATTGTCAATGGACCAGGCCTAGTGATTGTATCAAACCAATGGACCAATGGAATATTCTCAATGGCACACTGGTCCAGTGTTCCAGTCCATTGGTTTATCAACTAGATGAGGATGTAATCAAGTGATTACATCCTTCTTTTTTTCCTAGTGAGCGTAGGTAGTCTAGGTGATAATAATCTCTTTTTGATTAGGTTTTCAAGCCTAATCTGTTGTCGGTGCATCTCAAGGTACCTAGTCCTTTCCCTATAAAAAAAATAAATAAAAAATATTTTAGCCAAATTGAATATGTTTTTCCCATTTTTTAAATTGCTTCCTTTTGCATTAATTAGCGATTGATAGATTTGACTTACTTTTTTGCCTCTGCTTCTGCTATGGAAGCAAGGGTGGAGATGGCTTTAGTTGCAGTACTCTTACGATGGTTGTCATTGTTGTCATTGTTGTTGTTGCTGCTGCCGCCGCCGCCATAATTGTAATGGTTGCTGTTGTGATTTTGATGATCATTGATGTCGTCACCTTGATTTTGATGACGATTGTTGTCATCACCTTGATTTGGATAACGGTTGATATAGCAACCTTTAGTTAGATGACGGTTTATGTCGCAACCTTGATTTGGCCGATGGTTGATACTGCTATCTTGAGTTTGACGATGGTTGATGTCGCTGTTATGATGTTGAAGATTGAGAGCATTATTGTGCTGGCAGTAATTGATGTAGTTGTTTTCGGGATGATCGTAATCAAAAGGTTCTAGAAGGTCGATGTTTGTTATTCCCAGCTCTATTTTGTCGATATTTCTGGTTTTTTTAATAAATTCTATTTCTTCCAAGATTGGCAAGAAACGAGTCTACATAATTTTGTAAATCATTTGAATGATCGATCGACAAAGAAACTACCGCTGCTGCATGTATCAGTATGTAAAACAACAAAACAAAATACATACTCTTGGAGGACACCACTCATTTCTTGGCCCATCGGGTCTCGTATAATCCGGATAGTAGTTATTCATCTTGAATTTCAAACTAATATATTTTAAAAAAAAATGGCAGATTTAATACGCGGTCAAATATTAACGTAGGAGGCAAAAGTTTTTATTTTATATATACATATAGTGAAAAAATTTTTCTTTATTTGAATAGATGCTATTTGACAGCGACTATTTGGCAATAGAAGAGGAATTAGTAATATCAAAAAAGTTTATTGGGATAAGGTCAACTGATCTTGACAAGATAAAATGTTTTGCTGGGGTCGAATAGCATGCCTCGATGCATATCGATATGATATAATATCTTTGTATATTATAAAATCAACTTTTCCAAAAAAGGGGATTTTTTGTCATGATGCTTATACTATGACAAAACTTGGTTTCACAAATTTATCATGGAAATGGTTTTATTGTATATTCTCTGTGCTTAAAATCACCTAACGCCATGGATGTTTGCACGCCTTATATAAGTTCGCGTTTTTCTGCAGGAGGAAAGCAGCAAATATGATACCTGAGCCAATTCGGTGAATTCTACTTCTGCATTTCCCACCTGCTTGAGAGTCAAGGCCTACAGACTTGGAGAATGGGAAATGATTGCGTCAGACCCAAACTATCATGACTGGATATGATCCAATTTAGAATCGGGGGAAAGGTGATATCCCAACGTGTACGATAAGACTCTTCCATAGAAAGGTGCACCAGCGTAGACGTCATAAACTTTGCGATGTTGATGTAGGAGCACTTTCAATTTTGCCAGCACTCGCCATGTGACTTTGCCCAGTATGTACTTAGAACAGAACTTTATCTTGAAACATTTGTGTTGATAGCGAAGTTAGAGAAGAATACCCTTAAACAAGTCGTTCATGGCCTCATCCCGCACATCATAAGAATCCACTTAAGTTTTCGTCGTTTTCAAAGTTTATAGCGACGAGACATCAGCTGTAGGTCCATTGCACTCTCCCCCATTCACTTTCCGAGTTTCAGTCGATCCTCCTGGTAGGAAAGAGACGAACACATCGCATTTTGCCTACAAACATTAATTTAGATAGTATCTCTTTCTGCGGTCGGTGTTAAAGTGCAATCCATTATGTCATCAGTGCCGAGTACAACGATCAAATTCTTGTTCTTCTCAAGGATCCACACTACGAGCTCGGATCTGAAGCGGCACAGTTGGTCCTTTCGAGTAACCGTCATTGTTGAAAGTTCAATGGTTATTTTTAAGATCATTGATAAGTATAAAAATGTCCTCTTATTTGAGAAAGCTTTTGTGAAATTTGGTTTCATATTCATAATATAGTGAACAAAAATGATTTATGGAGAACATCAAAAAATATTTAAAGTGTTCACATTGAATTTTCAACACGGATAACCACCACATCAACCCTCCAGCGTATACTCGTTTCAAAGGACAACAAACCCCTTGTACTGCCAGTTGAGTCCTGAACCGATGTCACTGTGTTCTGAACTAATCCTGGCGTAGCAAAAACTTCACTTTTGCATGGATTGCTAATTATCAGTTTTGTGCTTCATCAGGAATTCGAAATACTAGCAGAATTGCGATAAACTTCGAACCTGGCGACGAAAGGTGAAGAAAAATATTCAATTTGAAAAAATGCAATATCTCCACATCCAGTGAACCAAATTAAATGATTTTGGTATCATTAGAAAGGAGTCAAGATGAATCTGATGATTGAATTTGATTCATTAGATGCGGAGATATCGCGCCTCAAAAACAACGTACAAAATTGTGAAAAACTTTTGTACAATTTTGTACGTTGTTTTGAGACGCGATATCTCCGCATCTAATGAATCAAATTCAATCATCAGATTCGTCTTTATTAGTCCTTTCTAATGGTATCAAAATCATTTAATTTCGTCCACTGGATGCGAAGATATTTGCAAAAATCAATTTTCTTCGCAGAATTATAAAGAAATTGTGAAAAAGTTTTTCACAATTTTGAACATTGTTTTTGAGACGCGATATCTCCGCATATAATGAATCAGATTCAATCATCAGATTCATCTTGACTATTCCTTTCTAATGGTACCAAAATCATTTAATTTGGCTCACTGGATGTGGATATATTTGCATTTTTTTAAACTGGATTTTTTTCTTCGCTTTTCGAAGTTTATCGCAAGTATTTCGAATTCCTGATGTAGAGATTTTATAGATGATCGTATCACGTGTTCGATATTATGTAATAACGATAATATCAACATAATTATCGTTTCAAAAATGGAATAACATCAGGGTTTACATACGTAATCGTCGTCGTCGTTTCAAAATGGAATAACATCAGGGTTTACATACGTAATCGTCGTCGTCGTTTCAAAATGGAATAATAATAGTTTTGATTTCGGAATATGTATGCGCGTTGACGATGCCATGCTGAATCACACGATCAAAATTTTTCATCTTTTCGCTGAAAGTATATATATTCGGTCATGCACCATTCTTGCTAAATTATATCTGGTCGATTGATAAAATTTGAAGATACATGTACTACAAAGGTTTATATACTAGGATCTGAACAAAATTCAACTTGTATATATAATATGGGACAGAAAGTCGCATCCTACTCGGATCAAATGACTATCATATGACCAAAGAGAATGTTTTGCTTCACGAATTCTAACACTATGGATGTGATTTGCTGTCTGTCCCTCTAAAATTCGGTTATTGCACACAGTCTAGGGATAGGAATCGATTCTCGAGTAAATCGATTTATAGAATTAATTTAAATGGTGAAATCCAAGAGTTTCGATTTCTAAGCAATAAAAATAAGAAATCGGAAATTTACGATAGAACCGTTTGACACTTCAATCCCGTTTATAGAACTACGAATCAATGACGGAACAAATTCAACTCATACAATTTTATTTTTCTGGGGAAAACAATTTGGATTCTAAACTTAGTTAGTTTAGATTACATCACAATTACGTAACGAAGAATAGTCTAAAATTAGAAAAATCGAATATTTTTTATATAAATATAAAGTAGTGTTAATATTTATCATCGGATTTCACATGAATTTAAATAAAAAGCCACCAAGCTTTTAATAAATAATACGCGATGATTCATGTATAATACTTGAACCAGTTATTAGTATGAGACCCAAAAAGTTCATTTATATAATATGTCGATATTTCTTTTGAAGTTACAAAAATAGGATTCCGTTTTTAAAAAACAATACGATAAGGTATTAATATATAATAACGCTTTCTATAAAGTGCACATTACGTAAGTTGTTAATTCATGCAATTATATACTTTTTTTTACTCTAGCCTTGATTTGTGACAAAGTAAGATTGGACGTTTTAGTAGAGAAATACATTGCCGGTACAAATTCTCCGAAATATATTTCTGATGATCAATCCGTTAAAAAAAGGCAAATGCATTGTTATGTTTATATTGATCTTTTTTCATTAATTAACCACCCTACGTAATACATGTACATGTACACGCACGTAACTTCGCTTTAAATATCCCGATCATTAAATCTTGCGTATTAATCATAAACTAAACTATGTGATGTGATCATAAGGTCAAACTATACTTCGTTTGCTAATTAGTGGTACATTATTTGCATAGGAATTTCATATATTGAATCTTATGGCTTAAAAGTCGAAACTTAGAAATATGGACTATTTTAAAAGGAGAAAAGTTGTCTAACAATATTTGGCGAAATTTAGAAAAAGAGATAACTTCATCGAATGTTCTTTAGTTCAATAAAAAATTGATTGCCATTTTATGGATTTTTCGAGCTTCAGTTCTTTCTTTATTATTCCACAAGTTCTTGATGCTTAGCGGAGACCGGCCGTTAAGTTGTTTGGAGATTTTTGACCAGTTTCCTCCAAATTTTTCGTGCAAATAATAGATTCGAACCTTTTCTTCGTCAGTAAACGGCATTTTTATTACTAATAAAAAATAATCGAGATGAATGTTAAAATAATATAATAATATAATAATAGGAAGTACATAAATAATTCCAATTACGGATTCTTACCACAATCGCTAAGATGGTTCAACCATCTTGAGAATGTAACCAAAAATGAATTAGATTGCATATTTGTAAAACTTTGCATGCATGCTTTAGAAAATTTAACATACCTTTCACGACATTGCTTTGCGGATCGTGTTTTGTGAGATTTCGCAACCAGGGACCACTTGGGTCCATGTTCTCTATATAATTCTCGCAAAGACTCATCTTCCTAATGCCGTTGCCGACAAATTGACAAACAATTGAGTTAAACGAAAAAGATATGCACAAAGACATCTTCAAAAGATAAACCTTGAATGTCCAACGATGTCTTGTTATCCGAGTATTTCTTAGAGGTTTAGAAAAAATAGCCATTTTTTTCCACGAATGTTTTTTTGGTGGGATCGAAAACAACGCAGCAAGCTTACAAAGATGTCTTTTTATATTGTTTTTGCAGTTAAACAATAAAAAAACGGATACAGTCAAAATTTAGTGCTTCCGTGTGTTGAAAAGCATCTTGCATAATTAAAAGATGTAAATGAGTTGAGAATATTGTTATTGTAACGTCATTTTTATTATCACTAACCTCTCCTCTATTAGTCATAATTAATTAATAAATAACATTTAAAAATAGAAGACTTGCCAAGTCCACAGAAACTATGTAAATTCACAACTCAGTAATTGGTTCCTAGTTTCACTTATTTGAATTCCATCACCGATGCGCCGCTTTTTCCCAACTAAGTAAATGCATCCCTTCTGGGAAAAAACTTAAACTAAACTTTTTAATTAGAACAAATAGGATTATGCGAACCATTATGTTGCACGCTTTGAAGGTGAATTGTTGTGTGATGGAACTAATATAACTTTGACAGATACTTTAATGATCTATTTATGAATAGAAAATCGTTATTAACGGTTGAATTATCCTTATGACAATTATCAGCCAGCGATTTACCGCTCAATTATTTTTATTTCATTCAAGTAAGTAATTTTGAAATACGTAGAGTTACGTATTACGTAATACGATAAAAAAAAGTTACGTAATAATCATCGGTTATCAATTACGGCCGTAAATAAAATGCGAAAGAGAATATCGTTATTATATTATTTAGAAGGAATTTTGATCTCACACTCAGGTATGTGTACGTATATTATACTCGAATTTGTTGCAACGATCAAAAGATGAATTCGAAAATAGATATTATTAAATGAATTTAAGAATAATAGCTTTGGACATGTAATTCATATGATAATAATTTAAACCATATATCAATTAGTATAACACAAAACCATTTAATAATCTAAAAATAAAAATTTACTTTTCAGACATAACAGCAATAGCGAATGTTTTCTCGGAAATATATTAGAAAAGCCGATATAATGAAGCGTTTTAAAATGGTAAATTGGGCTTTTTGTTTTAATTAATAGTTCGTTTCAGAAAAACTCCATATGTACATTAAACGTTAAAAGAGCGCAATAATACTCCGTACCCCGCGATTTGCTTATATAATGAATTTAAAGATAATCGGATCACGGCAAAATTTATTGAAGGAAAAGGCAGGATTTACATTTTTGCTGAATCTTAAAATATTTGTGACTTTATCTTTCCAAGTTCCATTCGATTTTTAGTTTAGAATTAATCAACTGCGCAACATACCAGATTCTCAAGAAGATGGTTTCGGGATATAAGGAAGAGATGGCCGAGAGATACGTGGATGGAAGAAGGTTAGAAAGACTTATTTTTGAAGGACAGAGTGATAAGATGGAAAGACTTGACTGAAAATGAGATGATAATGTTTCACAGATTGATAATGGGTTGAGTCAGACCTTGAGTTAACAATGGGTTGGGGGCATATACAGTGATGAAAAAATGTCGCTATTTCAAGAAATTCATCAAATTGACACTGATTTATATATGGACTCTTATGAAATGGATTTAAGAATGATGGTATCCTTAAAGTAAGATATGAATTAGTGGCTGTTAAATCGCATAGTCGCTAAATCGAGGACCGATTGTACACTTTAAAGAAACAAGAACGTGACTAGTAAACACGTGCGAGTCCGCAAGTGGAATTACTATTCCTTGTTAGTATGAAATTGACGAAACAATGTCTCAATGATGCTCAAGTGTCTGCGTTACTTTATTGAACTGAAACACAAAGTTTATTTTGGTAGCTTTACTGAACTTTAAGAGTTATAAAAATAGTGGGAATCTAGGAGAAAGAGTGCGTATCAAATGCTGTTTTTTCTATTTTTGTAAATGTATCACAAAATTACCTGGAAAAATTTTCGGATATTTAGATTGCCGCGAAAAGAATTCATGAGCCGACAATTGAAGTGTTTCGAAGAGAAATTGTGTGTTTTAGCACGTTCATCGATATTGTGCACAGAAAATTAAAATGGAAGCGATTTGATTTTTATTGTAGTACTTTATAATAAATAAATGTGTACGTCTACAAAAAGTTGATTTTTCACCGTGGATTTTCATTCACACCATAATTTTGGTCAACTGTCTTTGAAAATTAAACTATAACAGCTGCGTCGAAAATAGAGCGAGTGCAAATCAAATTTTGAAAATCGTGTCAAGCAAATGATATAACATTGTGCTATTCGTGATTATTTTCTTATT